CGGCTCTGGTCAGTCGTGCGGGTGGCAGCCACTCGATGTGTCCCTTCACGTCGATGTTTCTCTCTCTCTGTTCCTCTCTCCCCCTCCTACTCTACCTGAACAAAAAATGGAAAAATGTCCTCGGGTGAGGATAAAAATAAATAAATAAATAAAAACATATCCTTGGATGACCATTAAAAAACAAAAAACTGCAAGTTCACAAAATTTCTTTCCCTCAAATTTGCTGAAATGAACAAAAATGTAAAAGTAGCAAAACATGCCATCAGCCCTGAAACCAAAAAGAGACCTCAGCTTTGAGAAGTGTCATCCACAAAAGAAAAACTGGACCACACTGAAAGAAGGTGCTCCTGAGAAAAATCAACCTGCTCTTCAAAGAGAAGACTAGACAAGGAGTCGCACCAGGAGGGGACTCTGAGACCTCTCGTGGCTTTTCAAGGTTCAGACTTTAAGTATAAGGGTCGACCAGCGGGAAAGTTCGGGGTAGCCACACCTTCACTGGGGACCCTCTCTTCCATCGCCAAGACGATTTCCCTCAGCAAGAAGACTTGAGAAACTTGACCATCTTTCCTGCCTCTGATACATCGATACGTGGGCAAGGAACAGGGGAGGCATCTGCTAGGAATCATTGTTACAGCCAAACCGAGAAAAAGCTCCACAAGATGTGGAAAAAGGAGTACCTGTCCCTAACCAAGCAGTGAAGCGAACCTTGGCCACGGCCACCTTTTTTTTCATTGTTTCAGGGAAGGAACTCAGTGACCCAAAGCCCCAGCTCTCTCTTCACTCGCTTGAGCAGCAGAAAGACTGGATGAGGCAGGTAAGCTGCGGGCATCCAGTCCAGGTGATCAGTGGGAGGGTAAAATAACATCTCATCAGACACGATTTGGGATCAATGGAAGGCTGAGAAGGAATCACTCACATTCATTTTCAGGTCACACTGATATGTGACTAAAGCAAAAAATCTGCATCTACAAAAAAAGGACAAAGATTTCAGATAATCCTAACAAGGCATACAGAGTTCCAGCTGCTCACCAGGCACTGGTTGACGTGTTTCGCGCGCATTAACTCCTTAAGTCCTCAGACATCACTACAAAGTAAGCATCGTTATCACCCTCGTGTGTACAGATGAGAAAAGCCAGGCACAGGGGGTCGGAAGCCTGCCCAGGTTTACCCAGCCGGTCCGAGTGAGGCCGGGATTGGAGCACAGACTGCCTAGGTCCAGAGCCTCTTCTCGTCCACTTTGTCCCTCGACCCCAGGAAACAGACAACCTTGTCGGCAATTGCTTTTACTCTCAGATTAAAGAGAGTAGAAATGTACTGGCCATGCACCTTTTCTTGGAAGCTACCAGAGGGAGGAAGAAAAAAAGAAAAACTTAAGCTCAGGGATCCAACAAAGAGAGTTGTTTTATTTATTTATTTTTTTAATATGTTCTTTATTGATTTTAGAGAGAGAGATAGAAACATCGATGAGAGGGAACATCACTTGGCCGCCTCCTGCATGACCCCCAACTGGGGATTGGGCCCACAACCTGGGCCTGTGTCCTGACCGGGAATCGAACCAGCGACCTCTTGGTACATGGGTCGACGCTCAACCACTGAGCCACACCGGCCAGGCAAGAAGCATTGTTCTAAAAGTCTGAGGGCATGGCCAGTGCGGTGGGCCTGAAGAGCATGAGGACACAAGGTGCCATTGATGGGCTTGACACTTGGAAAAATGATTGCTGATCATTTGATGGGTCTGTTAGAGCACTTGGCAAAAAATTATCGTAGGTGTATGGGAAACGAGGCAGACATTTAAAATGAGACAGCTGTGAACTATAAGTAAAAACAAATTTACCTGACGTGGTGCATGGGTCGACACTCAGCCACTGGGCCACACCGGCAGAAAATGTACCTGACATGGTAATGCGAGGGTATCATATTATACCCTTGGGCACAGTGGTGAATCAAATTAATATGTAATATGAAATAGAGTATATGTACTATGTAAATTGTTTATGCAGTATATCATAGTTAATATAACGTAATATAAACACTGTTGACTTTACATTTTTAAATGTAATTATTGGGGCCCTGGCTGGTTTGGCTCAGCGGTCAGAACGTTGGCCCTCGGACCAGTGAGTTGTGGGTTTGATTCCAGTCAAGTGCATGTACCCCTATTGCGATTTGTCCCCGGCCCTGGTTAGAGGCAGCCACTTGATGTGTCCCTTTCACATTGATGTTTCTCTCTCTCCCTCCCCCTCCCCTCCTCCTCCTCCTCCTCCTCCTCCTCCTCCTCCTCCTCCTTCTTCTACTTCTTCTTCTTCTCTCCCTTCCTCTCTCTGCTTCCCACTCTATCTGAACAAAAATGGAAGAGTGTCCTCGGGTGAAGATAAAAAAAAAATAAATGTAATTATTGGGATGATAAAGGAAAGATCAGAGGGACCGGCGAGAGAGTTAAATCACCAACTTCTGTAATTTGGATCGTGTCTTAAAGGATCAACCAAGAAACACCAGTGTGTGTGTTATTAGTAAATCCAGAAGAAGCAGTTAAAATAGTTTGCATGGAACTCGGGACTGGGAGGTGAAGTTAGGTGGACAGAGGGAAGACCTGCTATCTTTTTATTACAGCATTTCTGTACTATTTGCTTTTTCAGCTAAACAAAACCTGAATAAACCAAGAACACAGATGAAATGTTAAAGGTTGTCCAAAAAAAACAAAACAAAACTATACCTTAAAAAGCACTTACTTATAAAATGTTTTTTCCCCAAATTTCTAAAGCATCTAACCAAAAACATTTTAATAAAAAGCTCTCTAAAACACTTCTTGAAAATTAAAGATTGGTTTCCTATACAGATGTAGCTCCAGGGAGTCTTAATTTCCTTCCTCTTAAAAGCAAGGCAACAAACAGTATGAAACTTTAAAAATGTGTTTTATTTAAGAAATTGAATCACAGACTTCCACCCTGTAATTGCATTCTTTTGGTTTTTCAAGATACCAAAGACGGGACCTTTATTTTAGCAGTGGGGAGGAGGCGCAGCAAAGCCATCTGCAGGATGGATTCAGCTACAAAGAAGAGGGCCACCTCTGCTAAAAAGGGTTTCTGTACAGTTGCCACATGCAATGACCAGTTTCCATCGTCCCCGTTGCCTGTGTGGCCTGTGTGTACGCGAGCTCTCGGTTCCCATCACAGATGGCTCCCAGTCATGATTACTTCCATCTCATGGTTTCTCTGGACCCGTTCGTTCCTCTCTGGGGCCCCCTGTTGGCCCCCGCACAGGTCGCATACCAACAGATCTATCTATATCGAGCAGCAGGCTGCAAGCCGAGAACCTTGCACATTGGCGGTGCCAATTTAAGAGTCTGCACGAGGTCACCTAAGATGACTGAATAAAAGAGGCATTGCCTGGGTTCCGAGAGAAACTGGTGGGCACAGTGGGGGATTTGGAAGAAATGAAAGAAACCTGAAGGAGTCTGGAGAGTCCATGTAGTGGGCCTTGAATTCAAGGGAGGGAAGTAATACCATCGACCTAAGAATTGGGACAGTCGTTTAAGAAGCAGCAGGAAACAACTGGCACATGATGGCGGTGTGTACGAGGAATTTGTTACCAAAGGAAGCAATTCAAGCTGTTTGGGGTGTTGGAGATGGGAGTCGCAGAAAGAAGAAAGGGGTTTGTACTGGAAATACTGGGGAAGAGTCAGGCTGGTGGTGGAGAGCATATGGGGAGAAGAGCCCGTGATGATGATTACACCAAATTTCTTTTTTTGTTGTTTTTTGTTTTTTATCCTCACCCAAGGATACTTTTGCATTTATCTTCAGAGCAGGAGGGAGAGAGGGAGGAAGAGAGAGAGAGAAATGTTGATGTGAGAGAGACACATCAACTGGTTGCCACCTACACAAGCCAAACCAGGACAGGGACGAACCACAACCAAGGTACATGCCCTTAGTGGGAACCGAACCCAGGACTCTCTGGTCCGCAGGCCGACACTCTAACCGCTAAGCCAAACTGACCAGGACCCAAATTTCTTTTTTTTTTTTTTTTAAGAGAGAGTAGAAGGGAGGGATGGAGGGGGAGAGGGAGAACAAGAGAGAGAGCGCACATCAAATTTCTTTTTACTTGAGAGATTGAGATGTATGGGAACCTGGACAAAGGATCCTGAAAAATATTTAAGTGTTTCTGACTTCCCCATGCTTGGATAAAGCTGGCACTGAGCTCTCGCTGGGTGGCTCAGTTGGTTAGAGTGTTGTCCTGATATGCCGAGGTTGCAGGTCTGGTCTCTGGTCCAGGCACATACAAGAATCAACCAGTGAGTGCATAAATAAGTGGAACAATAAATCAGTGTTTCTCTTTCTCTCTCCCCCTCCTTTTTCTCTCCCTGTCTCTCAAAAATAAAAGTAAAGCTGGCGTTGAGACATTTACATATTGTCTCATTGATTTCTGAGCACTGAAGAGATTTTAACAAAGATTCGTATGGTATTCGTCATCTGTTTTTACCCTTTCCCCAGGAATACATCTAACTCCTCGGGTGTTTACATAGCACTGGGAGAGGGGCTGCCCAGGCTGTGTATAAATCAGTTTGTAAATGCCATGAGACATTACGCTAGTCGCTCGTGTATATAATCTGTGTAAAGCTGGGCTCCATCGGAAAACTCCAGATGTGCATGGCATTTGGTTCTGACTCAGCTTGTTTCCTTTCAACATTCTTAAAATATTTATCCAGAGATATTTGTAGTTTGGCTTTCTTCTTTTCATGACGGTACAGTTAAAACAGGACCCTGCTTCAAACCCAGCACCCACTCCAGTGTAGACACTGCACCCGCCGAAACAAAAGGACGGACCTGACTCCCCACCGCCACCTGTTGGTGGCCAGCAGCATTGACATGCTTTGGCTCCGGCTGATTTGGGTGGCCAGAGCAAGATCTCGCGTTGAGTGTTTTGAGCAGAGGCGCCTCTGTGATTTCAAAGTTATCTGCTGCCCAGATAGCCAGCAACTTCTTCTTTTGCTTTCCTCTGTTGTGAAGGTGTGGCGGGGCACCCTGGCCCGCATGCGGTACAAGCGGACCAAGGCAGCGCTGACCATTATCAGGTACTACCGGCACTACAAAGTGAAGTCCTACATCCACGAGGTGGCCAGGCGTTTCCAGGGCGTCAAGACCATGAGAGACTACGGGAAGCACGTGAAGTGGCCCACCCCTCCGAAAGTGCTCCGCCGTTTCGAGGAGGCCCTGCAGGCGATTTTTAACAGGTGAGAGCCTGTGGTATGCGCTCCCTCCATTGATGGCAACATGCTTACGTACGATATCGGATCACAGGTCTTAGACCAGGATGCTGGCTCAGCTGTTTGCTGTTAAGACGTGTTCTTTTACCTCATGTCTCCAGTTTTGTAGGTTTCGCTTTCTTTCAAAAAAATTTTTTTTCTTTATTGATTTTAGAGAGAGAGAGAGAACATCGATTAGCCACCTCCTGCACACACACACACACCCCCACTGGGGATCGGGCCCACAACCTGGACATGTGCCCTGACCGGGAATTGAACCGGTGACCTCTTGGTGCATGGATCGATGCTCAACCACTGAGCCACACCAGCCAGCCTGTAGGTTTCACTTTCAAAGGGCATCTGTTCCCCTCTCAAAATACTAGAACTGCCTGTTGTTGTTGTTTTTTCTTGTAGCAAAAGACAGAAGTAAATCCCCACCCCTGGATCAAGCCATAGTTAAGGTGTTATTGGCATGCAGGCTCTACTTCCTTCTAGTAGTAAAAAATAGCTATTAAATCACCACACGTGCCCTGGCCAGTTTGGCTCAGCGGTTAGAGCGTCGGCCTGCAGTCCAGAGAGACCGGATTCGATTCCAGCTAAGGGCACATACCTCAGTTGCAGTTTGTCTCCGGCCCTGGGTGGGTTGTGCGGGTGGCAGCCATTCGATGTATTTCTTTCACATCTATGTTTCTCTCTCTCTCTCCCTCCCACTCTATTTGAACAAAAAATGGAAAAATGTCCTTGGGTGAGGAGTAAAAAAAAAAAAGTCACAAGTAACTCCAACTGGGATTCCTCTTCATCCTGTCAGTGCAGCAGTTGCAGAAACCGAGGAGTTTCTAATACATGCTGCTGCCCAAGTCCCTGCTCCAGAAAGTCCTGTTTAATGGAGCTGGGGAGCGGGGCCCACGCAGAGGTCCTTTCTGACGTCTCCCAGGCGATTATAAAACGCAAGGAGGAAACAACTGTTTCAGAGCATACCAGTTTTTTTTTTAAATAAGCATCCATATAAAAGTTGATACCTTTCCATCTGGTCTTCATTTTTTTTCATAAACTGCCCTGAATCTGAGTGTTTTAGTTATTTATAGCTCTTTGTTCCTCGTTGCCCAAGCTTATTTATTGCCAGTGTGCACCTGATACATTTAACTGTGTCTTAGATGCAGCTAGTCAGTCACATCGACCGAGCTAATGCTCCTCAATGTGGCCTTTCGGTGTCATGATGTTCCACATAGACCACTGTGAGGTCATTGAGATGCTGAATGTGAATGGTGGCAGGTGGCAGAAGACAAAGAAAATGCATGGGAAGAAAACTCCTTAATACATATCTCATTTGCTTTTAAAAAAAAAAAATGATTGCTCACCCTGGCTGGTTTGGCTCAGTGGTTAGAGCGTCAGCCCATGGACCAATTAGTCTCGGGTTTGATTCCGGTCAAGGGCACGTATCATGGTTGCGGTTCATCCCCAGCCCTGGTCAGGTCATGCGGGAGGCAGCCAGTTGATCTCTCTCTCTCTCTTTCTCTCTATCTCTCCTCCCTCCCTCCCCCCTCTTCCTCCTTCCTCCCTCTCTCCCATTCTATCTGATAATAAATGGAAAAATGTGCTTGGATGAGGATTTAAAATAAATAAATAATTGATTGCTCAAAAAAAGAAAAGAAAATTCAAACAGCACAGAATTATTGAAAGCAATGCCTGGCCATGTGGCTCAGTGGATTGAGCATCACCCCATGAACTGAGAGGTCCCGGTTCGATTCCCAGTTAGGGCACATGCCAGGTTTCCGGCTCGATCCCCAGTAGGGGGCATGAAGGAGGCAGCTGAGCACTGTTTCTCTCTTACATAGATGTTCTGATCTCTCTCTCTAAAAAAATCAATAAAAACATATTTAAAAACGAAAGAATTGTTGAAAGCAGAAGTACCTACATTGTCAGGTATAATACTACAAATGTTAATTGTAGTCTTTGCAGCCTTTTTAATACACAGATAAAATGTTTTTTTCCATGAGCTGTATTCTCTGCAACCTGCATTTTTGACATCATCTAAAAGTAACTAAGTGATACATGAATACAAGCTCATTTTTTTTTTAAGTGGGATAATATAAAAATATCTAAGATATAAAATTGAAACCCTCCCCACCTCCTCTTGTCTCTCCCCATTTTACTTCTTTTCCCTGAAATAACCACTCATGAACAGTTTGCATCCTTGTAAATGTTTGTCCTTGCATTTACAGACACACACGTCAGAGACAGCATGATACAGTGCTTAGGAACACGGAGCCTGGCGCCTGGGCTCATCTCTAGCTCTGCCAATGACTGGCTGTGTAGCCTTGGGCAAATTAGTTAACCTCTCCGTGCCTCGGCTCCTTCTCTGTAAAAGGGCTAATAATAGTACCTTTGTTGAAAGGACTGTGGGTCAGTATGTAGACAGAGCACCTCAGATAGTGCCTGACACATAGCACTTTGGAAATGTCTGCTGATGCTGCGGGTGGGTGTGCACAGTCACACATCACGTGGGCTTTGCGCTCTCGCTCTTTCACACAAGCAAGAGTATACAACTTGATTTAAGTCTTGAAGAACCTGTCCATGACAGTAAATAAAGACCTGTGTAATATTTTTAACAGATGCAGAGAAGGACTCATTTTGATCATGTTGCACGGTGGCCAGTACAGTCTTTTTTTTTTTTTCTTAATCCTCACCCGAGGATATATTTCTATTTATCTTCAGATAGAGTGGAAGGGGAAGAGAGAGAGAGAGAAACATCAATGTGAGAGGGACACATGGACTGGTTGCCTCCCGCACAACCCCAACCAGGGCCAGGGATGAATCGCAACCGAGGTACACGCCCTTGGCTGGAATCGAACCTACGACTCATTGGTCCACCGGCCAACGCTCTACCGCTAAGCCAAAGCGGCCAGGGCCGGTGCAGTCTTCTTTGGATCTTGAAGTTTTATGTATGGTCTAGAATGGATTAATTTTTGTAAAAGTCAATGTGTTCGTTCCGGAAATCTATATACAACGCCTGCTGTGCCACAGGCACTGAGCTAGGCTCCAGGTACCCCAGCCGTCTCGGGGCTTACAGCTGGCGAGCATTTTGAAAATGATATGTCTGCTCCTTTTGTTGACCGCTGTCTCTCTCCCCCTGCCTCTCTCTCTCTCTGAATGAATCTTGCTAGTTGTGTTAATCTAGTCCAAAGGCAAACTTTTTCTGTAAAGAGCCAGATAGTCCATTTTTTAGGCTTCGTGGGCTACATGTGTTCTTTGTCACATATTTTACTTTGTTTTATTTTAGTTAAACATGTAAAAATGATTCTTAGCTTGAGCACACAGAACCAGGCCATGGGCTCAGTCTGGCACAGGCTGTACTTTACCAACCCATCATCTCGTCCCTACACCCCGTTTAATGTATTCTTCTTCTTCTTTTTTTTTCATCCTCACCCGAGGACATTTTTGCATTTATCTTCAGATACAGCAGGAGGGAGAGAGGGAGGGGGAGAGAGAGGGAAACATCGATGTGAGAGAGACACATCGAGTGGCTGCCACCCACACGACCCCAACCAGACTGGGGACAAACTGCAACCGAGGTACGTGCCCTTAGCGGGAACCGAACCTGTGTCTCTCTGGTCCGCGAGCTGACGCTCTAACCGCTGAGCCAAACCGGCCAGGGCCGTTTAATGTATTCTTGGGTCGTTTGGTCTGTGGAATACGGAGAGATGTGTGCTAAAGGATTCCACTGAGGTTGTGGGGTTCGGCGGTTTTTCTGAGAGCTCAGCGTGTGACTGACGTGTGGAACTCGCTCCCGGTCCTCCTTGTATTCTTTTTCATTCCGGGAAGGTTTGTGCTCAGGCTCCCCCTTCTCCGTGTGGGCGAGCCCGGTCATTTCTACGGGGGCTGCTGCTGCCGTCAGTGAACGTATTTATCGATGGCGCCTCGCTCAGCAGGACGAGAGGCCTGTGTGGCTCTCTCACGTCGTGTAGGTCAGGTCTGGTTGCCCCAGCATGCCTTTGGAGTCAGTGTGGACCTTGTCCTGGGCCCCTTGGGTGGTGAAGTGGGCACGGCTGACCAGGCAGGGAGACTGAAAACAGACCGCCAGAGCAGGGGCCTCTTCCGGCTGAGAATGAAATTGCGGCTCAAGGGCTCATGGGACAGTTGCTTAACAAGCTGCGTAGGGTTGTAGGGCCTCCCTGTCTTTATAGTCTTTGACTTTGACCACAGACTGCCCTCCACCTGTCATGCTTCCAGCCTCTTCGGGAATGGTCTGGGACGGGCTGTCCCATTGGGTGGTGCTTGGCCACGTTGAGTAGAGAAGAGGGTTTCACTGCCACGCTGAGCCTTCGCTGTTTCCATGGCGGTGGTTTGGGCAGCCTGCCCTCTCTGACCCTACCTGCCATGGCAGCTGCCCCCGCTGCTTCTGGCCAGCCATTCCGAGTTCAGGGAACTGGACAGACCTCGCCTTGAAGTCCTCCACCTCCTGCCCTTGCTACCTGCCCCTGCTGCTCCGCTCCGGGTCCTTGGGGCCGCCTCGGGACGGGGTTGCTGTCCTGCCGAGTGGATTGCTCGGCACTGAGCTGTGTCTCCATCCGTTCAATCCCATCTGCGGCTTGCGTTCCAGAGTCTTCACGCCTTCCCGGCTAGTGGCATCACTCCCGTTTCCTGGCGGTGGTTTAGACTTTGCCTTGTTTTTGTTTATTCAGTTATATCAGTGGGAATTTGAGGGAGAGAAAAGCAAACATTTAGGCTCAAGACATCCTCTTGAAACAAGAGTACATCTCGGGGAAATCTGAGATGAAACCAGTCTCTCTGATGATGTGTGTTATGTGAGCTGGAGATGATCACCACTTTTCAGTTTCGGTCGAATCTCCTTCCAGTGTACCATGGAAGCGCGGTTTGAGAACCACTGGCCTTGACGATTTCATGTAAAGAACTGCTCAGTTTGCTTCCACCGCCCTGCTTCAGGCTCCTGCGGCAGAAAAGAGAGCACCAGTGTCCTCCCCACCCCAGTCCATCAGGAAGTCCTATGGGTGCTTCCTTCAGAACACATCCAGAACCTGTCTCTGCCTGGACCTCCCAGGTCCCAGCCACCGTCCTGTGCCACGTGCATTACAGAAATGCCCCCTAGTTGGTCATCCTGCTCCGAGCCCAGGGCCCTTCAGCCTTTCTTCATGCAGCAGTCGGCACGACCCTGAACAACAGGAGTCAGCTTACCTCTCTTCTTCGTTCAGAACCTTCCAGTGGCTTCTCGTCGCCTTCGGAGCAAAGGCCAGAGTCCAGGGAACGGTCGCACGGCTCTGTGGCTGGTGGCCCCGGCTCGCCCTCTGACCCCTCCTGTCCCTCTGCCCCTGCTCATTCTGCGCCGGGGCACAGGCCTCCCTGCGGTGCTCTAACAAGCTAGCGCGTACCCCGCAGCCGTGGCCCTGCTGTGTGCTCTGCTGGGAGCCCCTTGCTCAGAACCATGCAGCCGGCTCCTGCCCTTCCTGTCTCTGCTCACCTGTCCTTACCGGTGGTGCCTCCCAGACCACCCTTCATGAAGAACCCTGCTCCCTGTGCCTTCCCTCCGCTGCACGCCCGTCCTCCCTTCCCTGTTTGTTTTCTTCCATAGCCCCGAGGACAGCGGGCTTGCCGTCCCGTTGCCTTGCTTATCGTCTGAGCCCGCTCTGAGGATGAGCACGCAGCAGGGAGGACCTTCCCGGTTCGCGCCTGCGTAGGACAGGCCTGGAGTTCAGTCAAGGCCTGGAGAATGTGCTGAGCGAATGAATGACGAGGCCAAAGTAGCTGTGTCCTAACTGTGTGTCTTATCAGAGCCCATGTTCATTAAATTCCGGTTGTTTTCGAAACACACACACACAGCAAAGCAAGTTCCATGCCTCTGTTCACATGAAACAATGTGTGTTTTAATAAGTATCACCATTTTAATGCATTTTGGAGGCACTTTGCATGCTTTCGGGTAGCATGCAAGAGGTTTGGTTTAATTCTACTTCATGGCAGCTTCTTGTTTTTTGAGAGCGAATGGTCTTGTGTTTCTGAAGTCGAATACATTTTGTTTGTTCACTTATAGATGGAGAGCATCTCAGCTCATCAAGAGCATACCCGCCTCCGACCTGCCCCAGGTCAGGGCCAAGGTTGCAGCCATGGAGATGTTGAAGGGTCAAAGGGCTGACCTTGGGCTCCAGAGGGCCTGGGAGGGCAACTATCTGGCTTCGGTAAGTCCAGGAGAACCAAGTGGAATCAGTCATGCTCCCTTAACAAAAAAAAGAGAAAAATTTTTTTCCATGAGTTTATAGAAAGATTGACACCTCCAGAAACCAAATTTCTAGAACGATAATAAACTGAAACATTTTATTGCTTCCAAGCGCACAATATCTGATGTTTCCCCCATGTTAAAAAGGGTGCTCTGTCTTGTAACTGTGTTAGGTACACGCTATAACCTGGCTTTGACCATGTATTTTTTATTTTTATTTTTTTTCTTTATTGATTTTAGAGAGAAAGGAAGGAAGAGAGAGATAGAAAAATAAATGAGAGAGAACATCGATTGGCCGCCTCTTACATCCCCTGCACCGGGGATCAGGCCCACAACATGGTCATGTGCCCTGACTGGGAATCGAACCGGCGACTTCATGGGTCGATGCTCAACCACTGAGCCACACCAGCCGGGCTGGCTTTGACCATTCAAACCTTCCCTTGCATGATTCAGCAACTGTTTTTAACTGCCACCTTTATATCAATTATTTCCAAAGCTGTATTTTATTCCCTCTCCCATCCCTTATTTAAAAATTTGTATAGGACCTTTTGTGTTCAAACAACCCTTTAGTCGCTGGCCGTCTGGGATGGGGAGATAAAACGTGTATGTGTGAAACTTCGTGAGCACAGCACTAAAGCAGGATGCTCAGAGCTTGCCTCTCGGTCTGCCATCGTCATTCTGTCGTGTGTCCTCTCTCCTCCAGAAGCCAGACACGCCTCAGACCTCAGGCACTTTCGTCCCCATCGCCAATGAGCTGAAGCGGAAGGACAAGTACATGAACGTCCTCTTTTCCTGTCACGTCCGTAAGGTGAGGCGACCTTGAGGCAGAGCCCCTCGGGGAGAAGGGGCTGCTTCGGATGAAACTGACTTAGACGGGACTTCAGCGCAACGTGGCGTGGGAACAGCTGGCTACGTCACCAGCGAGCTGTCTGGGGAGGCGTGGATGGGCGCGCTGAGGCGACTCCAGTTGGAGAGTCAGGCCTCTTCGGGGAAGCGAATATTTTTGGTAACCTTTTCTTTTTGAAACAGGAGAGGGGGCACCTCCCCAAATTCAAGAACTTACATTGTCCTGCGTGTAAGTCTGCCTTGTACTTAGTGGTCACCGAGCACTTTTATCCATGCTTTCCATAGGGGGAGAGGGAGGAGCGAAGTTCTGGTGAGATTTGAAAGGGGGGGAGTTATGTGCTATGACTGTATTTGCTCACTGGGAGCAGGATGTGTGTGGACCGCTGTTTACCTGTGGGGATAGCACCGAGTGGAACAGGTGGGCCCTGGAGAGTGGAGGGCAAGGGACAGGGCTGTTCACAACCTTAGAGCACTTGTTTGGGGAAGGGCAGAGAAAGGCAATTGAAATAATTATAGAAGAACGTTTTATAAAATTATGCAAATAAAATTATGCAAATACATTTTTAAATGTTAATTAATGGGTGAATTTAAGAAAAATATTGCCTAGATTAACCCCAGAAGAGAAAATGATATAAATACATCAATATCCAAAGGAGGAATTAAGGCAGTATCAAGCCCAGCCAGTGTGGCTCAGTGGTGGAGCATCATCCCGTGTGCCGGGAGGTTGCCAGGTAGAGTCACAGTCAGGGCTCATGCCCAGGTTTCAGGCTCAGTCCCCAGTAGGGGTTGTGCAGAAGGCAGCTGATCAGTGTTTCTCTCTCATCAATGTCTCTCTCTCTCTCTCTCTCTCTCTCTCTCTCTCCAGCCTCCCCTCCCCTCCCTTCCCTCTCTCTGAAATCAATAAAAACATACTAAAAAAAGAAAAATCATAAATTGAAATCTATATGTGTATACATATATCAAAGAATTACCTCACAACAAAGGTTCAGATTTAGGTGATTTTAGAGGTATTTTGTTTCAAATTTTCAAAAAATACATAATTACAGTGTTATTCAGATCAAAATAATGAAATGTTATTTTTCAACTATGAATTTGGCCAACTTTAACATGTTAAAACAAGTAGTGTCTGCAGGAGTTTAGAGAAACACTGTGGGTAGGTCATAAACAAGCCTCGGTAAATTTTAAAGGACAGAATACCAAGTATGTTCTCCGACTGTAATGGAGTGAAATTAGGAACCAAGAACAGAAGCAATGTTAGGGATGAACAAACAGGTGGAATTAAATGACACACTCCTAAGTAACCAGTGGTCAAAAAAGAAATCACGGGAAAATCAGAACATTTGGAAAAGAAGGCACAACATGCCAAAACTTTGGGAGGCAACTAAAGCCGTCTTAGAAGGAAACATAATGCCTACAACAGAAGAGATGAAAGACATGTCAATAACCTAATCTTCTACCTTAAGACACTGATTTAAAAAAAAAAAAAAAAAAGAGCACACTAACCCAAAGCAACCAGAAGAAGGAAATAATAAAGATGAGAGCAGAAATAAGTAAAAATAGAGAATATAAAAATAATAGGAAAAAAACCCACAAAACTAAATGTTGGTCTAAAGATCAACAAAACTGACAAGTCTTTAGTCAGAGTGACCAAATACTGTAACAAAAGGAGATTAAACTTTATTCATGAAGTTCAAAAAAAACATAACTATTAGTGTTCAGAAATTCTAAGGAAGAATAGGTCAATTCAATGTAATAGGAACTTTTTTTTTATCCTCACCCAAGGACATTTTTTTTTCCATTTTTTTGTTCAGATAGAGTGGGAGGGAGAAAGAGAAAGAGAGAGAGAAAAACATCGACGTGAAAGGGACACATTGAGTGGCTGCCACCCGCACGACCAACCAGGGTCGGGGACAAACTGCAACTGAGGTATGTGCCCTTAGCGGGAACCAAACCCGGGTCTCTCTGGACCGCAGGCTGATGCTCTAACCGCTGAGCCAAACTGGGCAGGGCAATAGAAACTTTTTTAACAAAAAAGAAAGCAGTCGGTTCTAAACTTTTAAATAAATGTCGTCAAAGAAAGCTTTCTGGCAGTATCTCAGAGTGGTTACCAGAGTCCTGAGTCTAATTCTGAACTCCTGAATTCAGAAACCCTAGTTTGTAAGTGTACCTAGAGGTGATCAGCCAATCAGGAAATGGCTTTTGCTAACACAGACCCACACAAAAAAGCATAAGCCCTGATGCCAGTTAGTGATTTTAACAAAGGAATGTACCATTTCAGTGAGTCCTTATTTCTACTCTCTGCAATCAAGATATCTGGGAAGTCAAATTAGTAATCAGAACAAATGATCAAAGACAACTGGGTGGTTTTGTTTGTTTTTAATTCTCACCCAAGGATATTTTTACATTTATCTTCAGATGGAGAGAGAGAGAGAGAAACATTGATATGAGAGAGACACATCCCTTGGTTGCCACCTGCAAGATCCCAACCGGGGCCGGGGACGAACCGCAACCTAAGTACTTGCCCTTGGCTGAAATCGAACCCGGGACTCTCTGGTCTGCCAGCCAACGCTCTAACCGCTGAGCCAAACCGGCCAGGGCCAACTGGGTGGTTTTGACAGTCATCTTCTAGTGTGGAAAATCCTGGTGTTTCTGGTTCTGTTTTTCCAGTGATCACAATTTGATGTCTAACAGCATGTCTCTCCCTAGCTTCTCCTGGACAAAAAAAACTGAAAAATTCTTAGCTATGCTGCTATGTTTCTAAACTCAATGCAAAATAGTATTTCTTCACACTATAGATTAGATACTGTCCTCTTTAGAATCTTTTTAATCCCAAGGATGTACCAAGAAAAACTCGACACTGTTTCCATCAAGCCCTCTTCTTTATGCTTTGATTCTTTACGGAGCAGCCACTTTCATTAACTGCAGTCATAAACTGTCCTGTAAGGCAGACTTCTGCAGATAGCTGCTCTCACTCGGAATGTTTTCTCCTAGTCTAACTCTCCAGGGAAGCTTGATCTCTGGACCGCTGTGGTGCCGACTAAACCTAAACCTGTACCCAGATCATTCGAAGTGTTCGGGCAAAAGCAAGATGACAGGGTTTTTTCTTTAGTTGAGGATTTCAGCTTGGGCACTAGAAGAAATAAGACGAGATCTTATCTAATACTGAGTCTGTAGTCCAGTTTTTCTATTACTTTATGAATTTAAGTGAAAGAAAATTAGTGTTCCTATGCCATAATTATTTTAATTCAAATTTGCATATGTATATAAAGAGTTTTTCTTTCCATTTTGATTTAGCTAAGTTATGCCACTTAAAGTTTTCACTTTGTTGCACAATGTCCTTCCTACGCACTTGGTCCATGATTTAAGGATGATTTGAGTTGCTAAGACAGAAAGGAAAGATTTATGACCTGTTCTCTTCAGAAATTACATTTTTGCATTAAATAAAAGAATGTAACCTTTCTAAACAGTTCCAATAAAACTGCTGCTTTGAGGTTTTTGTTTGTTGGTTCCAGATTAGCTCATGGACATAGCACAGAAAGGGCCCTACTTCACTTAACCCCTGTGGCCTATTGCTTTGGACTCTTGAGTGACCTTATGAAATTATACAAAAATGTCTTTTCATATTTTTTTGCAACACACACATTTCTCGATGTGAATTCCCGAAAGATGAAACACACTACTTAGCGTTCAGATGTCATCTGAGGTGTTCTGTAGTCTCCATATTCTAAGATGGATGCAAATGATGGTGCGTGTTCTCCAACGTGGGTTTCACAGCTCAGTGTTCTGTTGCCTCTGACTGTGTTTCAGAAAGGGGGCCCTAATTCCAAGTATTTGGGAAACGCTGGATTAATCAGTTGAACATGCCCTTCAAGCCCAGCATACTGGTGGGTTCGGAATATCCCAGGGGAGGCTGTGGTTTGCAGCGTTCCTCAAACCAGCTTGACGTGGAACCCTTTCTTGCACAAAGCATCCCATAAGGCTAGCGTTGTGCAAAGCAGCCTAGCAAATGCTGATGTAGATGCTGTGCAGTGGCTTGAGTCTCTGACAAGTGCCAGTTCGCTTTCAGGGCAAAAACTGTTGCCATGGGCGGTGACTAGTGACTACCAAGAGTAGTTATTATTTCACCATGTAAACTCTGTTTTGCTCTTGTTGCTCTTAATTTTTGTCAAGACTGAAAAATATACATTGAGCCCTGGCCAATTTGCTCAGTGGTTAGCGCATCAGCCCACGGACTGAAGGGTCACGCTTTTGATTCCTGGTCAAGGGCATGTACCTGGGTTGCCAGTTTGATCCCCGACCCTGGTCAGGGTCGTTCGGGAGGCAACCAATCAATGTGTCTCTCTCACATAGGTCTTTCTCTCTCTCTCCCTCCCTCTCTTCCACTCTTATCTAAATATCAATGGAAAAGTATCCTTGGGTGAGGATTAAAAATACACACACACACACACGCACATGCATACACACATATACACTTTGGTTGTAAATAAATGTTTAGAGAATTGACTGATTTCTCAAACTATGAAGCCAAAGGGAGAAGACTAAATACAGTTCAAACTAAAACTTGAATTTTAGTTTGCTGTACTTTACCTATAGCAATATATCTTCTAGGCCCCAACCTGCCTACCCTCATTCACATAGGTGTGTGTCCCACCAGTGCTAATGACGTTTTCAAATTAATCTGTAACTTCTTTGTTGGCATCTTGAAAATAAGATCTTGGAAGCAGGGACGGGCGTTTATATATCACCACTGTGCCTTCTCTTCCACTTAGCAGAGAGTTCTTAGTGGGTTTGGTTTTGGTTTGCTTTGTTTTTCCTTTTAGTCACTGAGAAACATGACCTTGTAGTTCCTCTGACTTTTTAAAAAATTTTTTAAAGTGATTGATTAATTGATTTTAGCGAGGGGGTGGAGAGAGAGACAGACACTGATTTGTTGTTCCACTTACTGACGCGCTCATTGGGTGATTTTTGTACGTGCCCTGACCAGAGATCAAAGCCGCGACCTTGCTACATTGGGATGACACTGTGGCCTGAGCTGCCTGACCAGGCGTTCCTCAGGGGGTTTTAGTGTTCAGACCTTGATTTAAATATTACCCAGCCCTCCGTAACCACTTATCTGCGTTCTGTTTCTTTCAGTTTACTTATTCCTGACACTTCATATAAATGGAATCATATAATATGTAGTCCCTTGTGACTGCCTTATAACATGTTTTTAAAGTTCACCCATGTTATACCTTGTACGAATACTATGTTTTTTATTGCCAATATATGTTCCATTATATGGATATATCACTTTTTATTTATCCATTCATCAGTTGGTTAGCATTTGGGTTGTTTCTACTTTTTTAGCTTTTATAATTAATGCTGCTGCGAACATTCAGGCGCAAGTGTGTGTGTGATTATGTTTTCAATTCTCATGGGTGTATGTACCCAGGGGTGTAATTTCGGGGTAATTCTATGTTTATCTGGCTGAGAAACTGCCAGACTCTTCCAAAGTGACTGCATCATATTATATGCCCACCAGTGGATGAGGGCTCTGATTTCTCCACATCCTGACCAACACTTGTTATTATCTGACTTTATTGTCACCCCAGTGGGTATGAAGCAGTATATCGCTGGGGTTCTGATTTACATCTCCCTGGTGGCTAATGGTATCAAGCATGTTTTCATGTGCTAATTAGCTATTTGTGTATCTTCTCTGGAGAAATGTGTATTCAGATTGTTAGCCCATTGTTAATTGGGGTTTTTGTCCTTTTATTATTGAGTTATATATTCTAGATGCAATATATATTTTATTCTTTCTTTAAATGCAAGTTCTTTGTCAGATATATGATTTGTAAACATTTTCTCTTATTCTGTGAGTTACCCATTCATTTTCTTCATAGTGTCTGAGTTACATGTTTTCAGTCTTGTAATTATTTTGCATTTTTCTTTTTTCTCTGTTACATTGTAAAATTGTGGAATTTAAATGGTAAAATTCTGCAAATCTGGAAACGGCTGCTCCTTTTACATCTCTGTGGCCTCCAGTAGAGTGGCCATCCACGGTGCACAGCTGTTAGAGACCGTGTCTCCAAGCCAGCCACCTCTGCCCCTAGGTGTTTTCCTGGCAGGTCATTGGACTTCATTCTTCATGAGGTGACCCAGTTATCGGTTGGTTTCCCTACAGGTCAATCGATTTAGTAAGGTGGAAGACCGAGCCATTTTTGTCACCGATCGTCATCTGTATAAAATGGATCCCACTAAGCAGTACAAGGTGATGAAGACGATCCCTCTATACAATGTAAGTGTCCTCTGCTTCTCTCTGGGCCAAGGGTATTGATCTGGTGTTCGCAAACTGCTTGTGGGCTCATAGTCTGATCACTAAAACCTTTAGGGCTTTAGGAAGCCCATGAATTCTTGAAATTTTATGCCAATTTTATGTTTCATTCAGATGTTGTTTTCTTTCGGGAGGATCTAAAGCTTCCAACAGATTGATGAAAGCATTTTTTTTAATTTAATAAATAAATAAATTTATTCTCCCGGGAGGAAGAGAGAGAGAAACATCGATGTGAGAGAGACACATTGAGTGGTCGCCACCCACACGACTCCAACCGGGGCAGAGACAAACTGCAACTGAGGTACGTGCCCTGAGCGGTAACCGAACCTGGGACTCTCTGGTCCGCAGGCCGATGCTCTAACCACTGAGCAGAACCGGCCAGGGCCAAAAGCATTTTTTAAAGCGTAAAGAGTGCGTTCTGTGTGATCTTTTACTGTTCCTCATTCTACTTACTGCCTGAATGTTGTGATACACAATCTGTTTTCTCATTTATTTTCATAAGGCTTGTTCTTTCCCTGTTCCTAACCTCACTCGTCGTTTCAGTGTTATGATACATAATATATCTTCTTATTTTCATAAGGCTTGTATGGAAACTTTCTAATATGGAAATGGAATCAGACAGTAGAGAATTACTTTATGAAAACATTTCCTCTCTTTAAAATGTTAAATTTATGCTGCTCCCAGGAGTTCTTTTCACCAATATTTTACCTCTGATCTAAACCCACTCAGTTGTTCACTGTCTCCATGGGGTTTTCAAATTCTGGAATCAATTCCTTACTTGAAATAAGAAAGTTAGTAGGTGTCTCCTTGATTTTCAAGACGAGATTTTTCCCCCCTGCTCTGTGGGGTCTGTTTCCCAAGGGACTGTTCTGATTCTTCAGAAGGATCCGCTGGCCTCCTGATCTCTTCATGTGTGAGGTGATCTCTCTGTCTGCTAGTTCCTAAAGAGGAGGCTGTGTCAGTCCAACAACAGACTGTGTGAGAAACATTATTAAAGGTGATTTCAGGTCCTTTTGATCTCTGCTAAAGTCAATAGGAGATGTATTGTTTTGGAGCTTTGTTTTGTTAAATCAGGACTCTTGTTGCTTGTGAGGTACAAAGAAGGCAAATTTTTCCTGACTTTGCTAGGTGATTTAGAACATCACCGCAGGCTTATTGCCTAGCTCGTTGAGATCCATCTTCATTATGCGGCCTGCTGCCCGCCCTCCTCCCCCCCCCACACACACACACTAACTTTTCTCCCTTTCAGGAGAAGGCTAATGGATTGCAGCTAATAAGAAAATGTTATTCTAAGACATTCTTGACTATATGTATTCTTAGCGAAGACTTATAATCTTACATATCGATCACCATTTAAGCCTAATGACCCTACAGTCTTAAAGTAGGAAGTAAAGGAAGATGGGGGGAGATATCAAATTTTGTCCAAGTCTAATGAAGTGTGGAACCAAGCAAACATAAATTGTGGTGTGCATTTTATTTCTTTTTCTTATTTTCTGTTAAGTGGAAAGCAATCAGGCTCAGTATATACATTCAATAATGGTTAAACAACTCTTGGAACTGAAGTTATTTTCCCAAACTTCCTTCCTTTTTTTATGTTGATTGGCATATATTTATATTCACCGTTCCCCTTATCACATTATCATTATTCATGTTACCAATAATACTATACAGTGTCATCAAAATTAACAATGTATAACAATTGTAGCAAAGGTAAAACTATGTCAGCAGGATGGCTACACACTGGTGTGGATGCTGTCAGTACTCTGCCCACATCCCCTTGTGTTCCCTAATTCTTGTACACGCCAGCCTAACTTCCAGCCGCCAACATCTTCGTGAAAAGCCTGTGTTGCCAGAACCCACTTTGCCCCCAACACAGAGGACTAGAAATGCCCACTCACCCCAGCAACCCAGTGACTAACAGGTGCGGGGGGATAAATACTCCCAACGTCATCATCACTGACTAAGATAAATCCTGAGGTGTGGTTTATCCCGGTTCCTGGAGCTCCCTTGCAGGAGGAGTAAGCTGCGGTTGCCCACAGTGGGGGCTTAATCATGCGCCCTACTGGCTGCCTTTCCTTCCCTGAACCGCCTCCCACTCCTTTGTCAATGTCCCTGCACCTCCCAAATCAATTCTGTCTGCTCATCAGCCGTTGTCTCAGGGGGTGCTTCTAGGAGGAACTAACTTCAGAATGGAAAAGGGGCCTCCCAGCTGGATCAGTAAAAATGTTTCAAGTCTGAAGCAAATATGGCAAAGTATTAGGTCTGGATCATGAAGACATGAGTATTTGTTATTTTATTCTTTACACTTTTTGTATGATTGAAATATTTTAAAATTAGAAACAAAGTTTAAGGCAAGGAACCTTTAAAAATGCTCGTGCTGATAATAGTGATGGAGCAGCTGGGAGGGGGTGAAGGAGAATGATCTCCATGTTAGCCATGTTGAGTTTGAGGTATCAGTGACATTTACAACGGTACGCTCCATAGATAGTCGGGGAGCTAACATTATAGGGAGGGGGAGAATTCAGCACTTACGATAAAAATGTAAGAACGGATCTGTGTATCCCTGGAGGCTGAAATTATGAGTCTAGAGGGAGGAAGCGGGGGCTTCAAGAACATCCATCCATTAAATGGGGGGAAAAAGAGAATGGCTCACGGAAATGGAATAAAAAGGAAATCTCTTCTCTATGGTCCTCCATTTTCTCAACTCTCCTTTAATGTATTATGGATTATTCTAGGGAAGAAAAGAACTATGAGAACACCATGTTTCATAATCAAATTGGGAAGTTTTCCGAAATGAGAGTAATCAATAAAAGCATAGAGCTAAGTGCCCACGATTCTCTGCTCTCCTGCCCCAGTTTTCCCTTCTCCGAGTGCATCGGCTCCAGGGGACAGATCGTGGCCGCGTGCTGTCTTAAGTAACATTCTGCTTTGTTTTCAGTAAAGATGACTTGGAAGTAAGGGAGAGAAGTCTGGTGGGAATCCAGGGCACACCGTCATGCAGGTTTCAGAGCAGCTCCAAGGGACCATGTTACCCCGCAGCCCCTCGGCATGAACACTTAGTCTCTACCTCTCTGTGTGTCTTTTTACTCTTAGTTACTTTTTTTTATTATTTGCAGCACAGGCCAGTGCTAGGCTCCGGTCTAAATCAGCCAGCCCAGCAAACCATTAGTTTCGTCCTACACGAACATATTGAACACAGTGTCTCAGAGGAGGCCTCACCATAGCAACCAATTCTGCATGATCCAAATTGGTATTTTAGTTCCTTGTCAAGCACTTGCAAATCTATGCATAGTCTTTCCTGACTTTTTCCTAGAATAGCATGGATAATTATTACAATTCATTTGGGGTATAATTGATCTCTTCCCTCTGCTGTTTTTGACTGTTGCCTGTAGTCTCAAGTCACACTTGGACCTTGGTGACTTTGGGGGTGGGTCAGTAGGTTTTCCCAGTGGGAAAGAATCAGTGGGTGAGAAGTGCTTTATTTTGTTTGTTGATTTATTTATTTATTTATTTATTTATTTATTTATTTACTTCTTTATTTGTTTATATTTTTATCCTCACCAGAGGACATTTTTGCATTTATCTTGAGATAGAGCGGAAGGGAGAGAGGGAGGAAGAGAGAGAGACACACATTGAGTGGTCGCCACCCACACGACCCCACCCAGGCACAAACTGCAACCGAGGTACATGCCCTTAGCGGGAACCAAACCCCGGCTTCTCTGGTCGGCGGGCCGATGCTCCAACCGCTGAGCCAAACCGGCCAGGGTGAGAAGTGCTTTAAATAAGCCAAGTTCGCCCTGGCCGGTTTGGCTCAGCGGTTAGAGCGTCGACCTGCGGTCCGGAGAGACCCGGGTTCGGTTCCCGCTAAGGGCACGTACCTCGGTTGCAGTTTGTCCCCGGCCCTGGTTGGGTCGTGTGGGTGGCAGCCACTCGATGTGTCCCTTTCACGTCGATGTTTCTCTCTCTCTCCCTCTCACTCTATCTGAACAAAATATCGAAAAATGTCCTCGGGTGAGGATAAAAAAAAAACAAAATAAGCCAAGTTCATCAGGCATCCTTGCAGTCTCCCCGCCTACCCCCATTCCAGTTGCCAGAATCCCAGTCTTTGTCAAACAGGATTTAAATTGTGTCATATATATATAATGTATAGTGCATGTCTGTGCATACATGTGTGAGAGAGAGCGAGAGCGAGAGAGAGAGAGAGAGAGAGAGAGTGAGTGAGAGTTAGTTGTGCAGGGGAAACTCCAGGCGTAAAGGGAATCTTTGATAGGGGTGTCTTTCCTACCCTGGGAACTTTCTACCCGGTTAGAGTTCACTGCTGCCTCTGTCCCTCTGACTTCTTAGTATACAATTTCCAGATGTCTAGAGAAGTTGAAAGAATAGTCCAGGGGACCCCCGTAGGCCCTCCAGCTACAGTTAATAAGTGGGTGGTGGTGTTCTTTGCCATATTTGTTTTCTCTCTCTCGTGACACTTTGCCTCTGAAATGCTCCTGCGTGCGCGCTCCCAGCAGTAAGGGCGTTGTCCTCCATAGCAACACTTTTCATATCTAAAAAATTAATATTTCCACAGCAGGGCATATTAGCACATAGTCCGATTTCCTCTGTTGTTCAAAGAATGTCTTTTATATACCTATTTGGAAAAAAATTCAAATGTTCAAAATTCGGCCTTTTTCGCCAGTACATAAGAGCCCCGGTTTCTTCACATTCTCGCCAACACTTGGCACGCGTGACACGGGCTCGTTACAGAGTCCAGGACGCGTCTTGTCGCGAGTGGCCAGATTGTTTCCTCATGGTTCATTTGACTTACTCTCCTAGTCCCTGTATTTCCTGTGAACTGGAAGTTAGACCGGGAGATGTTCATTTTATTTCAGTAGTACACTTCCACATGCTTAGCACGATACCTTGCATCTCAACGAACACGGCACGCACACAGCTGATTCTGCCTTGTGGGTCATGCACGGAAG